GTAGAACAGGCGCACCGGTAGTTCGTGTCACTATATCCCTGCGGTATAGCGAAGCAGAGCTGTTCGCACATACGGTCTCCCAATCGAGAACAGGGCGACTCTCCGGGCGGTTGGTTATTGGCATCAAATATGACAATATCTCGCAACGTATCTAAATTGGATTTGAATGGCTCGGGCGCTAACGTCCGGTTGTCGGTCGCGAACTTATTGCCCCTGAAAATTGTCCGCAAATTTCTGTCGACCCAATACACGGTCGAGCCCAGGATGGACACGCCGTACGGCGTCGGCAGGTTTTTCCAGATGTATTGCCGGCGCCCACCAGAGAAGGATACCTTTTGAATGGCATCCTCTCTGGCGTCGACCCAATAGACATCGTGAGTGAGTATATCGATGGTCAGGTCTCTGGGATTACTGATTCCGGTCACGACAATGGGCGTCCTGTTGGTGCCGTCGAGTAACGCCTTTTCTATTTTGGGGAACTGTCCGTAATCTATCCAATACAGGAACCGCTTAATCGGATTGACGGCTATTTCTCGGGGCGCGTCGGTCGTTGTCTTGACTAAAACCATTCGGTGGGAACCGTCCAAATAGCTCACCTCAATGTAGGTCTCGTGCGGGAAGACATTTGTGAAGTACATGTTGCCGGCGATCCAGTCGATAGCGATGCCTCGAATGCCGTTACTTCCGATGCCGTCGGATATAATGTGCTGCTTCTCCGTGCCGTCCGGTTTGATACGATAGATACCGTTCCTCTCGCCGGGATTGTACTCAACCCAATAGATGTGACTCTTCACGACATTCACGTCGATGTGGAGTATGTTGTGTCCGGCGCCGGCCAGCGGTTGAATGGCTTCGGCGTGATCTTCGAGACTAAAGCCTTGCATTTTGTTGAGCGATGAGACGACGGCGAAGGACTTATAGGCCTGACAGTTGGTCTCGCCATCCGTCTTGAATCCCGTACTACACAAACACTTGCGCTGATTGTTCTCGGATGGTATGCACAGTTGCTGACACCCGCCGTTCCCCATACGGCACGGATGGTTCTCCACTCCGGGTCTTTTGCTGTATATCTTAATGTTGGAGAGCGAAGGGGTGTTCTCCTCGATGGTGATGGAGTTCCCGCCGTCCGGAAGGTTCACTCGCGATATCTTCTCGTACACGGAATCCAAATAATAGAGACGATTGTTATACACAGAGAGACCCTGAGGTTTGGCGATTCCAGAGCTGGATATGACGATAGTTCGCCGATCTCTTCCCTCCGGGTCCACACTCTCGATGACTCCGGTATAGCTCTGACTGAAATACAGGCGCTTATTCATGAGATCAAAAGTGAGTGCCTCGACGTGATGTAGGGATTCTCTCACGAGAACCGTGGCGTTAGAGCCGTCCATATTAGCGCGCGACACCTTCTGCGGCACCCCTACGCCTCCCTCGTCCAGCCAATACAGCTTTCCCTGCAATGGGTCTAAGACTATAGCCTTAGGTTTGGCGACACCTTTTTCCGAGCCATCATTGCTGAGGACAGTCCGTCGGTAATACTTTTCGCCGTCCGTTTTGACGACCGCTATATTCGAGGCCTTCTTGTTGCCGATGTATAGGTTACGTCCGATCCAATCAAACGCTATACAATAGGGCGCGCCAACGATGCCGTCCGGCAGGAATTTCGTCTGATTTCCGCCCTTAAGACTCACTTTATAGAGGGTTCCGTTCTCTTTGTCGTCCTCCCGGAGTTGCACCCAATATATATAGCCCTCCTGTTTGTCGTAATCAAAGTCGTAGCCATTCTCGACGCCAATAACTGGCGTGAAATGTCCGACAGATTTCTCGTTTGGCGTCAAACTCAAGTCAACGATTTGCGTGCCTTTCATAACCATGAGGTACGGCGTCTCCACTGGTATGCACCGACCGCCGGCAGCGGTCCTGTCCTGTCCGTAACCGGGCGGACACTTACAGGTGTAGCCCTCGGTTCGCGGGGACAGTAGGCATAAGTGAGAACACGAGGCTTTCGCGCACGGGTTGGGGGCCGGCGGCTGAAGCAACGGGTGATTGATGTGAATGCCGAGTGGCTGACTCACCAGATGCGAGACAACCGTTTGATTGATTCCTTTGTATTTATGGCAAGAAAGCACTCGATTTAGCTGACGATCCGTCCAGTAAAGCGTGTCCTCGAAGACCGTCAGTGAGTGTGGGTGAAGGAGATAGTGGTTGTGGGCCAACACCTGTTGCCTGCCGGAGCCGTCGTAGTTGCAGAAGTCGATGTAATCCAGCTTCGAGTCGGCGAAGTACACGCGTCGGGTGGGGATATCGAGGGTCAAGCCGTTTGGCCAATAGATTTTGGTGCTCACAATCACTTTGCGTTCGCTGCCATCCATTCCCACTCTTTCGATGCGTGGGTTTTCGCCCCAATCCGTCCAGAAGAGGATCCGGGCGTCCTCTCGCGGGTCCAGACATATACCCCGCGGTTGGCTTATGTTCTGCGACAACAGCACGATATGGTTTTGGCCGTTGATTGTCGACACTTCGATTGTTTTGAGTCGCGAGTCAACCCAATAGAGATTGTTTGCCACCCAATCGACGGCCAGCCCCTCGACTAAGTCGAGACCACTGCCCACCACAACCTCGGGGTCAGCCGAGCCCTTCTTCATTCTGTAGATCTTCTTCGAGTGCATATCAGACCAATAGATAGTGCCGGTGATCATCTCGGAAGCGGTGGCCACCACGTTCTCCACCCGCACCGGCACTCTCTCCAGCGATACGTTAGTGATGTTTGCGACCAGAATTGAGCGCCGATTGGAGATCACGAGGTAAGCGATGCTTCTGTTGATGGCTTTGCAATACGTTTTGTTCTCCAATTGGTAGCCGTCTTCGCACAGACACCTGAACGACGCCTTTTCGTTGAAACACTTGTGACTACAACTGCCGACTATTGAACACTCGTCGATATCCATACAGGTTCTCGTGTCGTTCAGCCGCTCACCCATAGGACAGGTGCAAAGGGGGCCGAATGGGGTTTGGGTGCAGTTATGGGTGCACTGGTTGTTAGAGCACGTCTGCAGATCACAGGCCGGACCCTCGTCGGCACCATTAGGACAGTCAAGTTGTTTATCACATATTTTGTTGATAGGAATGCATCGGTTGGTAATGTTGGGACACATCCACTGACCGCTGGGACAGTCGTAATGAGTGGGTCCGCACGCGTGCCGCTGATCTTCGTCCGAGTTATCGCCGCAGTCGTCCGTTTGATCACAAATCCAAGATTTAAAAATACATTTTGAATTATTGCACTTAAAGTGATTGCTGGGGCACTCAATCTCGCCGCACGTGGAGGGCTCGTCACTACTGTCCTCGCAGTCGGGATTTCCGTCACTGTTTTGGCAATTAATACAATATTTAATCATTACAGTAATAGCTACTAATTCGTGTCAATTATAGCAATACATACCAATACCACGACTTGGGAATACATATTCTTGAGGTCTGACATTGAAATTGCTTTTCGGCGTCGCATTGATTAGCGGACAGCGACGGACAGCCTTTTTCGTCGGAGCCGTCCTGACAGTCACTGACGCCATCGCAGTGATAGCTCTCGTGAATGCATTGCTTGAGATTCGCGCACTGGAACTGAGTGGAGGAGCAGACAATCGGTGGACAGTTCTGTTCGTCCGCCTGATCGAATGTTTAATATATTATAAGTTTAAGTTTAGGTTAACAAACTAATATGTAGTGGGTATACATACCGGGGACAGACACAGATATAGCCGCCCTCTCCCACCACAGAGCAGTTGTGCTGACAGTGACCTTTCGTCTCTTTATTGCAAACTCCTTTATGACATCCCTTTTCATCGGACAGATCTCCACAATCGTCGTTATGGTCGCAAACCTTGTCTAAGGCAACGCACTGTTCGTTCGCACACTTGAACTGATTGGACAGACAGGGAAGGGGCCATTTGCGGCACAGCGTGTGGTTGTTCTCATCACTTCCATCGCCGCACTCGTCCTGTCCATTGCATATCTGCCACAACGGTATACACCTCTTGTTATTGCACTGAAACTTGCGGGTCAGGTCGCACTCGAAGCTCTGACACATGGACTCCAACTCATCGGTTCCGTCGCCGCAATCATCGTCGCCGTCGCACAAGAAGTCGGGCCGCAAACAGACGGTGTTATTGCACTGATATAGAGAATCCTGACAGAAGCGGCCGTTCGGGAAACGCGTGGGACAGTTGGTCTCGTCCGATACGTCCTTACAGTCCTTGTTTCCGTCGCAGACCAGCTTCTGTGGGATACAGTGGCCGCTCCTGCACTTGAACTGATCGTCTTTGCAGCGATAGTCGAGGCACTCCTTCTCGTCGGAGCCGTCATCGCAGTCGTCGTCGTGATCGCACCGCCATCGCGAGGGAATGCACTTCTTGTTGCCGCACTGGAACTCACTCTCTGAACACTCGCGATAGAGATCGACACACATTGAGTGCTCCTCATCTGATTTATCGCCGCAATCGTCCTCGAAGTCTGTGAATTCAAATCAATTCATTAGTTGTCATATAAGAGTCAACAACCGAGTGATGATAATTACCGCATCGCCACCGCAGAGGAATACATCTGCCGTTTTTGCACTTAAAGTCTCCCGATTCGTGACATTTGGGACAGAAGTCGGTATTACTTTCGTCCGAATTGTCGCGACAGTCGTCTTTGCCGTCGCAGAAGAGCCAACTCGGGATACACCTGTAGTTGTTTCTCGTCGGACACTTCTGCCAACCGGTACTACAGTTCCGATTCCTACACCTGTGCGCCGGTTCGTCCGAATTATCACCACAATCGTCATCGAAGTCACAGAACCAGAGTTTGGGAATGCATTTGCCGTTTTTGCACTGATATTGCGTGTCTTTATCGCATTGCCGCGAATGACAGACAGACGAGTCCTCATCGGAGCCGTCGGAGCAGTCGTTATCGCCGTCGCACTGCCACGAGTCGGGGACACACCTGCCGGTGGACCGGCATTTGAAGCTGTGTTCGCCGCAATCGGTGTCGCAGAAACTTTCGTCCGATTTGTCGCTACAGTCGGGGATACCGTCGCAGATCCTGATCCTGGAGATACAGGTGTGGTTATTCCTGCACTGAAACATTCCCGGTTTGCACATAAAGGGCGCGCAGTTCATCTCATCCGACCCGTCCCTACAGTCCTTATCGCCATCACACGTCCAGAAGACAGGTATACACCGGTCATCGGGCGCCTGACACCTGTGCTGCCCTTTCGTGCAGTTGGCAATACATGTCTTATTGTCCTCTCGGAGTAGGAAATTGTTAGGACAGGCGCACGAGTATGTCTGACCACCCGGTGCTATAAGACACAAGTGAGAACAGCCGCCGTTGTTATCACCGCATGGGTTATCGTAAGGCAATTGTTTCAACGGGTGATAGATGTGAATATCGTAGGGTCTGTGAGAGGTATTCCTCAGAACCTGTAGGTGTTCGCCGGAAAACTTGTGTGCCTTTACTAAGCCTTTGGTGTTCCAGTCCGTCCAATACAGCCAATCGTCAAATACGGACAATGCAAACACGTGGGGAACAGAACTGCCGCTCAGCACCGTATGTCTGTGCCGGCCCTCAAAGTCGGAGTACTCGATGTAGTCCAGGTGCGCGTCCGCCCAAAACAGCTTATTACTGAAGTAATCAATCGTCAAGGCGTTAGGCCAGACCAGCTTCTGCTCGTATGTGATAATTCTGGTGAAGTTCGTGCCGTCCATTCCTAACTTCCCGATACACGAGTGGTGCCCCCAATCGGTGAAGAATATGTAACCGATTCCCGGGTGCACTGCAATGGCTCGCGGATCGGATATACTTCTTCCGAGAACAGTCTTGCGATGATTGCCGTCCAATTCGGCCACTTCTATGTGTTTACTCGTTCTGTCCATCCAATAGATCTTCCTCCCGACCCAATCCACGGCAATGCCTTCCAAGCCGTGCGCCTCATGTCTGATCACATTCTGCTCTCCCGTTCCGTTCGTGAAGATTCTGTTAATGGTTTTGTTGCCGACGTCCGCGTAATAGACCCGCTCCTCCCTGTAATCGAAATCCAGAGCCACAACGTTCTTGAGATCCATTTTAATGAGATTATAGACCGAGCCGTCGGTACTGATGTTTCGCAAGTAATATCGGTTACTGAATATAATCCACGGCTCGATGTTATCCCGGCGCTTGCATACGTGTCCATTCAGTTCGCGCTCGTAATAGGTTTCGTTACACTTGCAGTAATAAGAACCGGGAGTATTGAAACAGTATTGACTGCACTTTCCCTTCAGTGTATTGCACTCATCGATGTCTTCGCAGGCCTTCCCGTCTTTCATGAGATAATAGCCTTCATTGCACTCGCAGTAAAAACTGGTCAAAGTATTCACGCATTTGTGTTCGCATTCATTGATCTCGGTTTTGGCGCATTCATCGACATTGCAATGCGAGGGCTCATCACTGCCGTCGTCGCAGTCGATCTGTTTATTGCAGACGCGTTCATATGTAATGCATTGACCGCTTTTGCACCGGAACTGTCCGCCCGCACAAGTGGGCGCTTCGGTCTTGCATTGCGGCTGATTCTCATCGCTTCCATCGCCGCAATCATCTTCGCCGTCGCATAAGTATGTCTTTCGGATACATTTGGTGTTTCGACACGAAAACTCTTCGGGCGAACACGTCCTGAACGTACAGTTCCTGTGCTCATCAGATCCATCGCCGCAGTCGTTGTCGTGGTCTGCGATCAGAAACAATACGTTTAGCATTCAAACCAATTACTGGGTTTCGAGAGATAACTTACCACAAACCCATTCCTTGTTGATACACCGGTGGTTATTGCACCTGAACTGATCCGTTTCGCAGGGCTCGGGGGGCGGGCAGTTGTGAACAGTCGTGTTTTCATCGGCGCCGTCCACGCAGTCTGGATCTCCGTCGCAGATCCATCGTTTGGGTATACACTGCGCTCGACCCCAGTTCTTGTTGGCCGAACACGTGAACTCCCGGTCAGGATCGCACTGTCGAGTGTCGCACTGGTGTCTTATGTCCTCATCAGAGTTGTCGAGACAATCGTTATCGCCGTCGCAGATATATATCCTCGGAATACAGTTGCCGTTATCACAGGTGAATAGGTCTCCAAAACAGGTCCTCTTTTCACTTTTGCAGTACTCTTCGGGTTCGTCGGCCTTAGATCCGCCGCAGTCGTCATCGCCATCGCAATACCAGGTCGCAGGTATGCACCGGTGGTTCGGACACCGGAAGCTGTTTGGTGGGCACGTCCTCTGAGAACAGATCAGGGAATTCTCGTCCGAGTTATCGCCGCAATCGTTGTCACCATCTGTTCGCACAATTCATAACACATTACTAACAAAACTCTCTACAAATGAGAGGTAAGAGCCGTACCGCAGAGCCAATAGGGTTCGACACATATGTTGGTGCCCTCGCACTTGAGATGATTTCCCGGACACGTCCTGTTGTTCGGACATATGGAGTGACTCTCATCCGATGTCTTGGTGTCTTTGCAGTCGTTCACACCATTACATAACTGCGATTTCGGGATACACTTATGGTTGGCACACGTGAACTCGCCATCAGCACAGGGCGGGTATTCTGTGTTCACATACATTCAAATGAGTTAATGCCGTATAATATTCAATGATTTGAGAAACACTTACGACATCCTTCTTCGTCTGTATTGTCTCCGCAATCGTTCTCGTGATCTGATGTTTGAAACAAATTAACAAAATATTTTACAAACACTTTACTAATTAATGTATCAAATAATTACCGCATTTCCATGTTTTGAAAACACACCGACCATTACCACACCGGAACTCATTAGGACTACAGGTGTGTAGGGCTATAAGAAAACCATAAAAAATTAATCAATTTCCTAATGAAACCAAATTATCTCAACAAAGACTTACAGCAAAAGACTTTGTCCTCATCGGTGTTGTCGCCGCAGTCGTCATCGCCATCGCAGGCCCACAGCCGGGGTATGCACTTGGAGTTACTGCACGCGTATTTGGTCTCCTCGCAGCTCACATTCTCGGGGACACACATCCTGTTCTCATTGGCCAGTTTGAAGCCAGTATTGCACCGACACTCGACCGACCCATTGGGCGCCTGGTGGCAGGAATGAGCGCACCCGCCGTTGTTATTCAGTGAACACGGATTCTTATCACACAATTGCCTCTGCGATGAGTAGATGTGTATATCGCGCGGCGATTCTTCGAGTCGTTTAACCATTTCGATCATTCCGGCGCCGGTATGCTTCTCAGCCCTATAGACACCTCGCAATTGAAGGTCTGTCCAGTAAATGTAGTTCCCGAACACATTAATAGCGAATGGGTATATAGTGGCCGACACTAAGACTTCGCGATTCTTTCCGTCCATATCTGATCTCTCAATCTTCTCTCGCAAGGCGTCCGTCCAGTAGAGCTTCTTCTCCTCGTAATCGATACTCAAACCACTCGGTTGTGTCAAATCGCTCTCAACGATAGCCTTTTTCTCGTTACCGGCCATCGTTGCCCTGAATATTTTGCCCGAATTGCCAAATCGGCCTTAAGATTAACACAAATTCATTAGCATTAATGGATAAATATAACACAAAATAATTTATAGTTTACCCCAATCGGTGTAATACATGAATCCCTGGCACGGGTCCACCACTATAGCACGGGGTCTCTCTACTCGCGTAATCATAACGATCTGAGAGCCGTCCAAATTCATAGAGTATATGCTTCTGTTGGCCGAATCGGTCCAATAGATCTTCTGTGCCGTCCAGTCGTAAGCGATTCCCTCGGGATTTATGCCTTTCGACAAAATCACATTCACTTCATCCCGTTTGTCGACATTAATCCATGAAATGGCGCCGTCGGGACGTATTTGAGTGAAAAACATACGTTTGTTGGCGTAATCAAAGTCAAGACCGACGACATTAGAGAGATTAACGCGCGGAGGGAAGGGAGCACTCGTGACTTGTGGGTCCAGATTCACGCTCCGGATCTCCTTTCTGGTGGTGAACACAATGTATTCGTCAACGTTTTTGCACTTTTGCTTGTCGGGTGCCAATACGCCCGTAGAACAGGCGCACCGGTAGTTCGTGTCACTATATCCCTGCGGTATAGCGAAGCAGAGCTGTTCGCACATACGGTCTCCCAATCGAGAACAGGGCGACTCTCCGGGCGGTTGGTTATTGGCATCAATGAAAGGTCACTGTCAGCACAACTGCTCTGTGGTGGGAGAGGGCGGCTATATCTGTGTCTGTCCCCGGTATGTATACCCACTACATATTAGTTTGTTAACCTAAACTTAAACTTATAATATATTAAACTTCTAACCCATTAGTGGATATCAAATCCAACTCAACGACACAAAACTTTGCGAAGATATCAATGAATGTTCGGGTTTTGGTCACAACTGCTCCCAGACTTGTGTCAACATTGAGGGCACCTATACCTGTAAATGCAAACAAGGCTTTGAGATGATTGACGAACGGTGTGTCGTCAAGAGTGAAGTGCCGGCTTTTGTCTTATACACTGACGGACCTGATATAAGAGCTGTTGATTTGTCGCAACAACACCAGTCATCATTGGTCGCCGGCGAGAGTCGTGTCCAGTCTTTAGACTTTGATCCAATCACCGGTATGTCATATATAAAAATTGTGGTTAAAATAATATGACGAACTCATTGTGCTATTTGTTTGACTTCAGATATACTCTATTGGACCGATACTTACGATAAGACGATAAAGAGAGCAGTGATTCCAAACCCAAGTGATCCTGAGCATGGAAATGGTTTCTCACAAAATCTGGATCTCAAAGGTCTTACAAAACCAGTGGACATTGCCGTCGATTGGGTCGGGAGGTTAGAAGTGTTTGTTAACATTCAATATAAATAACACACTAACGATTGAATGACTTGTGTAAAGGAACCTGTATTGGATGGACATGGATCTGTCAAACAGCAAACCCAAAGGACGCATATTTGCCAGTCTTCTCGACGGTCGATATCGCAAAGCAGTGGTCGTC